CTCTGCATGAACGTGGGTTATGTTGATAAGAATTTCCTTGACGTAAGTGCGGACATCTGACGGAGGATGTTCGACTTTACCCCAGTCATACTGACCCAAGTACATCGACCGCTCAATCATGCCTGTCGCAAATGCCATCATGAAGAATTCAGCAAAAATACACACAAAGAAAAGAATAAGAGCAAACAATGCAAGAAAAATTAAGACCCTTATAGATATCTGTGAGGAGGAGAGATGGAGGACTGGAGGAGAGAGGAGGAGATGGAGGAGGAGATGGAAGGAGGAGAGGGAGGGAGGGAGGAAGGAGGAGGAGAGAGGAGAGGAGGAGGAGGAGGAGGAGGGAGGAGGAGGAGAGGAGGAGAGGAGAGGAGAGGAGGAGGAGGAGGAGGAAGGAAGGAGGGGAGGAGGAGGAGGAGAGGAGGAGAGAAGGAGAGGAGGAGAAAGAGGAGAAGGAGGAGAGGAGGAAGAGGAGGAGGAAGAGGAGGAGGAGAGGAGAGGAGAGGAAGAGAAGGAGGAGGAGGAGAGGAGGAGGAGGAGGAGGAGGAGGAGGAGGAGGAGGAGGAGGAGAGGAGGAGGAGGAGGAGGAGGAGGGAGGAGGGAGGAGGAGGAGGAGAAGGAGGAGGAGGAGAGAGGAGGAGGAGGAGGAGGAGGAGGAGGAGGAGGAGGAGGAGAGGAGGAGGAGGAGGAGAGGAAGGAAGAGGAGGAGAGGGAGGAGGAGGAAGAAGGGAGAGGAGGAGAAGAAGGAGGAGGGGGATGAGGTATAGGCAGCAGATGAGGAGGAGGAAAGTGGTGGTGATGGAAGAGAAAACTGATGGTGGGGGAGAGGGGGAGATGGGGAGATGGGAGAGGGAGAGGAGAGAGAGAGGGAGAGAGGGAGAGAGAGAGGAGAGAGGAGGAGAGGAGGAGAGGAGGAGAGGAGGAGAGGAAGAGGATAAAGAAGGAAGAAAAAATATAAGGATAAAACAAATATATAAATATCTAGTCTCATCTCAAAATACTTAGTACTCACATCCTATCATCACTTCTTAGTTATTTGAAATATTTATAAGAGACAAATGTATCTTTTAATTGGTTTGGGCATGCTTCCTTTCTTTCTTTTTTTGGGAGGCGAGTATATTAATAACAACAGCAACAACAATAACAACAAAAAACACATATATAGAACTTACCAATAATGGGATCAACCCTTTCTTCCAAGTAAGCTTCGAAGAGCCTATCTTGCAGTTCTGTATAGGTACCACTAGCTTGCTCTACAGCTTCTTTCACCTTTTTGATGATAAAAAAGGTGCAGATTTAGCCACATATATAGAAGAATGACAAAAAAAAATCAAGTAATAATAGAAGGAAACATATGAACCAAATAATCATTTAGGAATTCATTAGACTCAAACCTATATCCATACACACATATACACACATACCTATAATATTCAATTAAATCACAATTGGAAGGTAAACAAAATTGAAAACCCCAAAAACTTACAGCCTCTGGAGGGTATGAAGCTCGCACCAGAGAGTCTGATAACCGAGGAAGGATTGTGCGTCGCATGAAGGCACAGTTGCTTAGTGTAATGAGAAGTTGAGCCTCAACACCTGGCGCATTCTCACTGATGTTGCAATCACTGTCGTCCTCATCTGGGTCATGCAGACTGACTTGGCTCAACTTCTCAAGTGACTGTAAAACACAAGATAAGGATAACTGGGGGAATAATCAAAGAATATGAAAGACTAATTTAGTTTGCCTGTAAATACTTGCCAATTCTTATTTCTACATAAAGGTTCTACTTGAAAAAAATTACCATACTAAACAGAGGTTTAATCATGATCTTATTTATAATGAATGTCTAATGTTTCACTATACTTACAGTTTTGATGTACTGCTGCATAATGGAGAAGCATTACTATGAACAGTTATTACAAGGACACAAGGGTAAAACACACCTGTTAAATTAACTTACTTGAGCAAATGCAACAATAACATTGTGTATTAGAGTTATGATATCCCTGTGAACAGTAGGATGATCTAGGAGTGGTGTTTCCCGCGGCCCAGATTCTAGGACAGTTTCACGTACAAGCTGGGCACATTCCACAATCACATTTTCACAGATATGCGGCTGTTGAGAAGGAAAATTATAAGTAGTGACTAAGCTTTAATTCATGAATAATCTTCACTTACACATAGAAACATAAGGCATTTCTATCATAAATTTAACCCTTTCATGCATTAAGTACTGAAAACACATGGCTCTCATATTACTGTAATATTATACATAACCTACCAACTGTGTGCATCCTCCATTCTCATCATCAACTTCAAGGTTCCATTTCTCTCGAGTGTGTAGGCTGCGAACATGCTCTACCGTTTGTTGGAACAATGACATTAAGCAATGAACTCTGTGAAAAAGATAATACAAAAACACTAAGAAAAAGTCTTTGAGATTTAGTACAGAATTGCATTCCTACTAGTTTGCAATTTGTACATACTTTTCTAAAGAGGAAATAGCTGTATACTAATGCCTCACTAACATTTCTTTAGATTTCTCATTTATTTGACATTTATCTCAATCTCTACATCAATTTCCTTCTTAAATCATCCCCTCTATTTCCTCTTTCTTTCCATTTTATCTATTTATCTACCTCTATCTCTCCCTCTCTCTTTCATTCACTACCTTACTTTCATTCTCCTCTCATGTCTCTCTTTTTCTCTCCACTTCCTCCTCTATTCCTCCCTCTCCCTATTTCTCCTGCCCTATATCTCTCTCTATCTCTTATCTTTATATCCCAGTCACTGAATTAGTCAATCCCTCCACAGAAAATTGAGCATATTCACCTCAAATCCAAAATCAAATCCTTAACAACATCCAGGGCATCATTTGGTAGATCTTGTGTCAGCAATGTGCTATAGCACCCACGGACATGTCGCAAAACCTGTTTACATTCAATATTTAAGATAAATCCAGCAAAATTAAATTATAAAATCATAACAAAGCATTCATACTAAGAATCAATGAAGAACAAAAGAGGATTTCTTATATATCTTCAAAGTCAAGTAGAAACAGTCAAGAGACACTTCAATCTCACTTGTGGTAACCATGGCGTTATCTGATCAGGGGAAGCCTCAGGCCAAACATGGTAATTTCGGAAGTTTGCACCAACAGGGTCGAGGGAGTGAGGCATTATGGCACCACGCATCAGTCCACTGAACACATGAAGTAACTCCAAGATCATCTCCTGCAAACAATTTAGTTTATTGCTGGATTGTGGGTTAAGTAATTTTACACAAATAAAGGCCCCATCACACTGGCACTTTTTCCAGCAATTTTCCGTCTGAATTTGAGGCTTTCCTCCAAGTATCACTTGCAAACAGAAACCCTCTCAGATGAACATGGTAATGACCATTTCCATCTGATTAATATCCATCTTGATCTTGTGATATAGAGGATCTATACAACTAGAATGCTTTTTCTACAGATACAGTAGACAGAATAAGTTACTGTAAATCGTCTCCAATATTTCTATATATAATATACATAATCATATTTCTTTAAAATAACGTGATATGTATGAGACTTTCATGGAAAATCTTCCTTCTGCCCTACCTTACACCTGGGGTGCTTCTGATGGTCCACCTGTGCTGATGGAGGCAACAGTTCCCCACCAAAGTAAGCCTGACTAAGCTTCCACATATCTGGGAAGTTGGTGGATAACACCTCACACGCTTCTTCTACCCATAGAACACGCACTGGAGCATTGGCCTGTAAATTAGCAGACATTGTATATAATAAAAAAAATAACAATTTAGAAAATCCTTTAATTTTGCCTGCAACTCTATAAAATCTTTCAATAATACAACACTTATACAGCACCAACTATTGCCATTCCTACCTGCCATTCCCCAACAGATGACATCATAATCTTGTTGTACTTGGCAGCTGGTGTTGAGTGTCTGGAACCACCTACACCCCCACCCATCTTCCCACCCCCAGAGCCAAGGTCATGATCTGCCATCTCCCGATTGAGATGCGAATCGCGGACTGAAATCAGGAGGTGCAGGATATACTCATGTTGCGCTGTGAGACACTGCCAGGCTGGGTCACCGGGTGTCTCCAGGTGGTGAAGATTTCTGTGAATTTATGAAACAAAAATTAATAACAATGATAATAACAATAATAATAACAATAATAATAATGATAATAATCATCATCATCATCATTATCACCATCATCATCATCATCATCAGCATTATCATTATTATCATCCATACCTAATTATTTTCTTTTGGTGTTCTAATGATGATGGCATTCGAGTCAGCTGTTCCCCAAGCACTCCTCGTAAATCATCAATACGCTTCTCAACCTCGTTATAGAACCGCCTAAAAAGCTGCAAGGAGACAATATAGTGGTTCAGGATAATTTTTTGATAAAATAATAAAAATCAATATGTTAGAAATATCTTAATATGAAAAAGTTATTCAAACTAACAAACAATCTACACAACACACACAAACACACACACACAAACACAAACACAAACACACCCACACACACACACACACACACACACACACGCACACGCACACGCACACGCACACGCACACGCACACGCACACGCACACGCACACGCAATCGCACACACAATCGCACTCGCAATCGCACTCGTACACTCAAAATTATCTCTTAACTTACAGGAACTTGTGTATCTCCAAAAAGACTTTTTGCACGGGCATAGTCATTAATAACAACATCATAATCCCCACGCTGAATATGCCTCTCAATGTTAACAGGCAAGTACAGTAGGAAGCGGAATCGATGGAGGACATTGAGGGCGTTCCTTGTCCCATCTGCTCTGTCCTTACGCTGCAGGACATCCTCAAAGAGCTTGTCAGCTTCCTCTTTACACTCTGGTGGAGGAAGAATTGCTGTGATAAGGTATTCTTCTTGGCTTACTTTGCTCTTATGTTGAATTTAGTACTGAAGAATAAATAGGTGAACAACAAAGAAGACTATGAAGATGGAAATAATGCTATCTCCCTTAGACTTTTAGAAAATAATGAACAATTACTGAATTTAAACAAAAATACAATAAGCCCTAATGAATGGGCATCCTGTTTTCTATGTCTGTCAACAATAATACAACACAGAAATTGAACAGTAGTTAGGGCTGCTGAACAAACTAATAAAATAAGTACAATGCACCACAACTTCTAAATTTTGCCACAATATACATACATCAGCATACCTAGAACAAGATCAGTAAGATGAAACTGTACACGTCCTCCATAGATAAAGCACTAATACCCAGAATAAAAATACCAGCCAGATGGAAAAAAAAATATATATATATATATAGCACACATGACCATAACAGCTGAATTTTAGTAGCAATTACCTATAATAGATTTCTCTAGCACTTGGGTAATGTTACGGCCATATTCTTGGATGTCACTCTCAAACTTGCACTTCAGCTCAAGTAGTGTGTCAAGTTGTTCCAAAACTGAGCCAACGTTCGTCTGGAAGATAAAGTTTTCAGTTTATGATGATATTGGATAACATTTCATTATAACAAATATAACAACATAAAGAAGTACAACCACAAGTGGTTTAAAATGTGCATTTTGCCATGGCTCGAAATCATATCTTGTTTTCATAAACTGCATTATATAATGATTTATAGAAACATTCTGAATGCTGTAATGTAAAAGCAATCAACTAAGGAAATTCAACAACTGAGAGCAACTCCAAGCAAGGACAGTATATAGGTCGGGAAGGGATCAGGGGCAAATATGCGTTAAAGGTACAAATTCTTGTGTACAATGTCAGATTAAATCTTCTGTGGCTTAACTTTTTCCTGACTCTATATCATTCTTGACTCAGATCTTCCATTTTTCCACTTTCTCACATCATTTTAATTAACTGATACGATTGATCTTACATAAATATGTGACACCATATACATTTATTTTCAACAATAACTGTCATTTGATGTATGTCATTTAGGTTTTGTATGCATTCAAATCTCACTTTAATATACAAAATGTAACTGGATACCAAATCTTTCCTCCACATCAAAAGCTACTCAACTAACCTTTAGGAAGGATATCTGACCCATCTTCTGTGTCTCAACTTTACGCCTGAGGTATGCCAAGCCTGCTCTGAGATCGTCATACGAGGTGGAGTAATGATTCTCGAGGAGGAACCATTCAGGGTTGAATTGAGTGGACGAGAGGTCTCCTGAGCAACCAGGAAACATTTCTTCCAGGTCTTCATTCAAAACCTTGCGACTGTAGAAAAAAGAAGGAATCAAAAACACTTTCTTATCGATTCTCCATTTTTCTTATCTTGTCAGTCCAGTCAGTCAGTCAGTCAGTCAGTCAGTCAGTCAGTCAGTCAGTCAGTCAGTCAGTCAGTCAGTCAGTCAGTCAGTCAGTCAGTCAGTCAGTCAGTCAGTCAGTCAGTCAGTCAGTCAGTCAGTCAGTCAGTCAGTCAGTCAGTCAGTCAGTCAGTCAGTCAGTCAGTCAGTCAGTCAGTCAGTCAGTCAGTCAGTCAGTCAGTCAGTCAGTCAGTCAGTCAGTCAGTCAGTCAGTCAGTCAGTCAGTCAGTCCGTCAGTCCGTCAGTGTCAGTCCGTCAGTCCGTCAGTCCGTCAGTCCGTCGTCCGTCAGTCCGTCCCGTCAGTCCGTCAGTCGTCAGTCCGGTCAGTCGTCAGTCCGTCAGTCCGTCAGTCCGTCAGTCCGTCAGTCTGTCCGTCTGTCTCTGTCTGTCTCTGTCTCTCAAATTTTGTCTATACTATGAAATGCAGCTGTAAATCTACATACTGAAAACAAAATAAAAAATGCTACTTTACATTGTGCTATTCAGAGCACAACCTAATAAAAAAATCTCATTCACCCTAAATGTACTCATTCTCAACACAAACCCTTGCTCCTTCAGATTATCTTCAACTTAAAGCTACATCTGATACTTACTCATTGCCTTCAACTGAGAGTCCAAGAGGGTCCTCCTGTAGGGCAGATGTGGGAGACATGGGTCTTTTCCTTCCAAAAGCCATGTTGAGGAAGATGGTCTCATCTACCCACACAGCTGATTCCTTTAGAAGTCCCATTGTTTCTTGATATCCTGAATGAACATATATAAAAGTATTATTCAAACATTCTGCATAGTCTAATAATTTCTCTTACATCCGAAACAGAGATTTACAATTTCTTTTCTTACAGACATGAATACAAAAGGACACTGAATCTGTAAAACATTGACAATAGCAAAGGTGACAGTAGCACTGACCCACTAAAAATAATAGTAACAAAAGGTTCAAGCAATAAACTGGATAACAATATTTATAAAGGTCTGAATCTCATCACTAGTTTTCATTCTTATTTTCAAAACTTTTCCAGCAGGTTCTGAGCATAATCCTATATAGTGTTTGGAATTGGCTTTATATAATCTTTTACTTAATAATTAAGCAAAATCTATCTCTTCCCAAGACTGACTCTTGCCATACTCATA